CCGTTCACATAGCGAGGGAGCAGTTACAACTCCACTCGGGAACGGTCCCTAGCGGTCTAATATATGATTAGTGACGCGAAATTAGATTTACGTTCGCTTTTCCAAAAATTTCTCAAGCTTTGTTTTATTATTATTCCCGGTTATTATACTAATAAGGTCGTTTGTGGGAGACGCGGTGGCCTAATGGTTAGCGGCGTTAGACTCCGGATCGAGCGGTCGGGTTCGAGCCCTACCCTGGGTCATTGTGTTCTTGGGCAAGACACTTTACTCTCACATTGCCTCTCTCCACCCAGGAGTATCAATGGGTATCGGCAAACAAAATGCTGGGGGGTGGCAATACTCCTAGTCAGCTTCATGCTACGGAAACCGGGATAAGCTCCGGCAGTGTGGGCCAGTTTCGCTCGAGTGTGGCCAGTTACCTGATATGGTCGTCACGCAAGTGTTGCGTGACGACAGACGAGGAGGATCCCACTTCTGCCACCAACGATGCGGAAAAACTGGTCAATATGAACGAGCCTCTCGCGCGTCCTATTTTCCGACCCTTTTCCCGCCATTTCGATCTTTTCCTTTCATAAATTGCCCATGGAAGCCTTTGCAGAATAGTAAGGGTATCAAATAATAGCGCTACTACAGTCCAGGGACAAGTGTCAGTTGATGGCGAAATCGTCACCGACACTTGACTGCGCCGGCGGTTTTCGTTCCCGAAGTTACTAAGCTGATAAAGCCTATGTACACTGATCTGCTTATGACTGTCGCGACTTCTGTCGCGGAGTACTCGTGACTGCTTGTGCTTGCCACCCCAGTTCTGATTGCGTTAATAAGAATCAACATGTTCGAGTGTTCGTGCAACTAAGAGGAAACTTTTGTACGAAGATTATCATTACTTGTATGGTCTATATGAACTTAGAAAAATTGTTGAAAGAATTTAAAAGGCTTTGCAGAGTAAATGGTTCAGATTTAAGTATGTTATGTATTCAGATAATAAGGGTGAATGGCGTGTACTTTATGACATAACAAAGGACGAAAACTCACTTTTCTACTGTCCTAAATACTCCATTTTTACGGGTTGTACAGGCAAATCCCGAAATTGTAAAAAAATAGTTTAAGTTTTGTTTTCAATATTGTCCTAATTTCTCACATGTATTTACTAGTTTTTCCCTTTCGTATTTTTAAATATTTAAATTTTCAATCTTTAATTTTGATATTTTAGTGCAACAGCCGGCCTACGGTTGACGGGATCTATAATAAACGCATACACCTATTTCAATTAACGTTGTCGGATAGAAGTGTAAAGCCTACAAGACAAGACCGAATGGTAGTCTGGGTATTCATTAGAATTTGCATATCGGTGGAAAATAAATCTACAAGTTTTTATTCGCACGTGATGTATTTGGTTCGCCCCGAATTAGATAATTTGTTTTTTCCATGTTTTCACTAGCTGATTCTGCATAAAATTTAGTTTGGCTAAAAGTAGTTTACTTCTACAGGTTTAGAACAAAAAGGAAACGTTAGAAATAATGTTTTTCATGTTACTTCTCATTAGTATTCGGTGCGTGCAGCAGTGTTTCTACTTTGTCCATGCTACCTTTTGGTCTTGTCTTGCACGTTAATTGAAAATAGGTGTACCTTATTACACTTAATTTTCGCGACATCAAATGTTCGCGATTTTTGGATGGCCATATTTCGCGACACTTAATTTTCGCGATTTTGTTAAATTTTCATAAATTGACTCACGTAATTTTCGCGATTTCGTCGATAGACCAATAATTACATTCGCCATTTTATTTATAAATTAAAGTGAACCGGCAAGAGACGTATAAATGCTCTATGTGATTTTTATTAAACTTGCAATCATAACACACCAGATTGTACAAATCTGCAAGGTACAATGTCTGGTGTTATAGAAATAGATAGCAATTTACAACTGTAACAAAACGGTAACGGTGACAAAGGAAGTGCACGTTCAACTTATATTTCACTTTAAGCTTATATGTGTGGTCCACTTAATTTTCGCGCCGTGCTAATTTTTCGCGACACCTAACTGATTTTCGCGTCACAAAATCGCGAAAAAAAACGCGAAAATTAGAGTGACGCGGAAAATTAAGTGTAATAAGGTATATGTATGTACTTATTTTTGTAAATACGCGAATGACGAAGTTCATTTTAAACATGCTTAGATTTACGTGATAAATTATTATAAATTAATTCAGGGACTGATGTGACTTGATTAATTTTTCCCCTTTTTAGGCTTTTTATTAGTTACCTTTATTGTTTAATGCAATGTTGTATGAATGTATGGTCATGTAAATAAAGCTACCTCTTGTTGTAAAACCTGGCACTCCACCTCCGTCCAATTTACTTGCTCTGAAATTGAAGAGCAAAACGAGAACCTGAACAATGTGATCAGTAACAGGAAAGCTATTCAACAGATTCGTTTTATAAGAGAAACTTGTACAAATAAATAATAATGATCTAAACTAATAGCCGCACCCGGTAGCCGCACTTGTAACACTAAGACTAAAAGCGATCTACGTAAAGTATTCCCAGGGTCATGTAATCGAGTAGGTGGACGGGTCTTATTGATGTAAAAAGAAAATTGTAGTACAGTAAAACATTGCAGATAAAAGCAAGCTTCTTCAATCCTGAAAATCTTGTTTGTACTAGCTGTTGTCTCGATTAATTCCAAGCCTGACCATGCTTCCCCCGTCCGGGGCATTTGACATTTCTGTAAGTTTTTGTTCCCTAATTATATCAGTGATTGCACAGCCACTGTAATCAAATTCACTGATTTAACAAAGGAAATAGCGACATAAATAGGCAATATTAGTGAATACCGCAGCATCATAACGACAACGGCCAGTTTTGGTCTTCTTGGGCGTAGGCCAATGAGTGTTATTGGGGACACTATAACATAAAAGTACATAAATAGAACCATCCCATTGAATTAGATAGTGATTATCCACCCTTTGAAACAACCTGGGCTTGGTCCTCTTGTGCTTATGCCAATTCTTTATTTCATTTCTGATTCATGTGTTTACTGTATGCCTATATAAGGGCATGAATGACACAAACACGAGTCAATCAGGACCTCTCGCGCGGATCGCCCGCCATTTTGTCTCCTTGACTCCCATGCCAGTTTGCACAGTATGATTATATCAAACCTGTTCTCGCCAGTTATATTTACGTTTTTGCCACATAATGAAAACCAAGCTTCAACTTTCAGAATAAAGCCCTTCCGCGACGGCTTTTCTCAACGTGTCAGCTATGAAAGATAAAGTTATATTAGAGAAAACTGAAAAGTTTTTTGAGTCAAACACAAAAGGGTGAAAATACTGCGTATGGAGTTTAGAGTCACGCTACTTGTTGTAACTATAACTCAGCTATCCCCTCTCCACCGGCTTGCTTTCGGCGAAAGTTCGTGTTTAAAATACAAGCTTTCTCTTTCCTTCTTTAACAATTTGTTCAAATAGGGGAACTGAATGCGACAGTTATATCAACTTGAAAACTCGGTGTCAGTTTCTGATTATTATAGAGAGCTTAAGCACAGACGTTTTTGAGCCACGGACGCCAACCGGAAGGCGAATGTTCCTGTTTTTGGCGCGCTTTCACCTCCACCAATGAGTTGGACAGCTTTCGTCTTAGCATTTACAACATGATGTTACGGACCAAAAAGTCGAAAATACGCGCCAAAGAAGAGAACGTTCGACTTCCGGTTGCCGTCCGTGGCTCAAAAACGTCTGTGCTTAAGCTCCCTAATATTTTTTGCACACTTCTAGAACGTATACTTTCTTTTAATAAAGGGTTAAGCTAACGCCCGATTCACAGAAAGATATAACTTCGTGGCCCACCAGATTTCCGGGGAAGGAGTGAAAATGAAACACTTTCTTGGCCGCAACCAAAAATGGAGAGCTGAAGAGCTAACAATTATTAAAACTCAGATTATCGACATTCGCAGAACATTTCAAGCAAAAATGAGCAGCAATACACTGATAGAGGTGTTTGGTCATATCGTGTTCAGTTTTACACGAGGCGTAACAGAGCACTACAACCCAGAAGAACCTGAATACACGGCAAGAGTCTTTTGGCTACGATCCTCTACAAAGCACAGGGTCGAGAATGGTACCATCATCCTGTTGATGAACTTATTTATCAGGAATACAGCGACAGAGAAGTCACAAGCTTCCACTTTTTACCAACTAGCAGTCTTGATGTACGAGTTATAAACGCGTGCTCAACAGAAAGACAGCGACGATGAAAACACAGGGAAGATCAGCAAGATGAAGATAGAGCAATGGCTTGGAAGCGACTCAGACCATCCGCTCTCCGTACAGTTTGTAAATCAATGTACATTGGAGCTTTGATTTCACTATTAACTGCTACCATCATAGGTTCAGTATACGTGTTGATCTCCTATCTCTGTTTACAAAACTAAGCACAACTGTGAATTTGAAAAAAAATTCATTCCAATGCAAATACAGTGGATGAGAACAACATCCAACGTGATCTATAGTGCTTTTTATTTACGTGTGGTATTTTGCATGTACGCTATTTCTTTTCCGCCCATATCAGTTAATGGGAGTGAAAACAAAACTGATTCTTGCCTGTTGCCTCTTTTATTGTTTGGATTGCAGTTTATCGTATGTCTCTACTAGCCCTTGGAATATCTCATGCCAAGCTTTTCTACTTTACAAAAAGATACCACTCTACATTCTGTTTTGTTATCAGTGTATGTTGCCAAGTCTATCTTCTAACGAAAACACTTCTGCATACGGTCATCAAGGAGACACCAGGCTGTTTCTGTTTCATAATTGGTATTGTTTATTGCCTTATTTATTTACCCAAGCGTACATCCAACAGAAAACTGAAGACGGCAAAACTGCTAATCGCAATCTTTGCTCCTCTCATTGGAGTCGCTCTCAAAGTAGTCTCCCGAATTTGTGCCCAACGATTATGGAACCTTACCCATTCCGGGATATTCGTATGTCTTATTGGCGCCGTTGTATTGTGCCTCAGCGGTTATGTTTCGAGCTTTACAAGCGGGAACTTGACAGTTTGCAATCCATTCGCCATTCTTGGAATAATTCACGGCGCTGCAGAAGTCATAGAACGAAGCAGCATGGTTATTATTGATCACATTGTCCCATCTGATTTGGAAAAGAAACATCAGTTCCTTGGGGAAGTTTTTCGTACTCCTACGCCGCGAGAGACTAATGGTTGATATCGCTATCATGAGCATGTTGTA